CTTTGAGTTGGAAGCTCAATTGCATACCCACTAGGCCACCAGAGCTCCCTCTGTGAGGAAGAGAACTAGAATATGACTCACCAGCATATAGTCAGTCGTTAACACCATGTGCATGGGTGAGATAAGAGGGGACAATAAAACGATTGCTGTATTACAATATTGTTTAAGGAATATGCCAAATTACTTGACAATGGAAGGTCCATGCACTTGATGGTCTTTTCTAGTCATTAAACAAAATCGTAATGAAGGATAATAAGGCCAATATGGAAAACTCTTTGACATGGTCATTTTAACAGATTATTCACATAGACAATATGGCCGACTCTCAAAAGTATCAAGCTGTGTAAATTAGCCACAGAAAAGAGCATATTGTTTGTTTTCATTTATATAAAATTCTAGAACAGGAAAAATTATAATCTCTGGTAATAAAATCAGATAAGTATTTGCTTCTAGGGTATTGGGAACCCATTAAGAAGGGGTATAAGGGAATTTTCTGAGGCAAAAGAAACTCTAAATCTTGATAAGGGTGCAGGTCATATGTGTCTACTTTAGACAAAACAGATGGTACAAAGATGGTACAATAAGCACCCCACTGTATTATGGCTTATGAAACAGAGTACACATTGTATATAATCAGATAAACAAAGAGAAGAGAATATGCAAACAGAATAAGTTATACCACGGTAGTGGAACTTTGGTATTTTCTCTGCAATTCTTCAACTTTTTACACGGTTCTTTTAAAAAAGAGGAATTTTAGAACCTCAAATGCCCATCAGTATATATTTACCCACGAAAATGCAGAGCACTTCATAATGAAGTACTTTCATGGGAAGCAGGAAAGAGCCTGCAATTAGGGATTTTAGTATCTGAAGCCAACAGGGAAAGACAACATAAAATAAAATTTTCAATATATTCAAGGGAGCACTTGATTCATTGTGGTAAGAGGAACCTTATGATTTTGTTCTAAAGATTGTGAGAAAAGAGATTTGTGAAGAGGTTTTGCAGCAGAGGTAAGTCATTGCAGCAAGGGCTGTGGCTCCGCTGTAGCACAGAGCAGGCGGTCCTGAAGGGCTGGCTCACCTTGGCAGCAGGGGACCAATGTCAGGCACAAGCGAGAGGGCAATGGGAAAGGCCATGAGTGGCGGGAGCTGGAGGTAAAATGGATTCTGAAGATCAAAAGTAGAGCCTCAACCTGGTTTTAAGTGCTCCTGAGTTTATGGATTGTCTTTTATCCTGCAAATTCTTAGTAATTTGGGAAAATTGAGCTAATTTTTCATACAGACAGTAAAGAAAAATTGTCCGGAGGCAGAGAGACATCAGTGAATGCCCATTTTTCCAGAGTAAAAGGATGATTATCTTAATGAGGATGTGTAGTTTTTACTTAAGTTGCTTGTGAGGGACTGGGCACTGTGCCAGCTACTTTGTATTTCTTTTTTACACCCAACCTCCACAATAACCCAGTAAAACATATATTAACTTACTATTGCCAATAAATTACTTGTTCTCAAACAAGTTAGGTAACTTTAATTATGAAGGAAAACCCAGACCACCAGACGTACTACACTGTTCTACTATCTAAGAAGAAAATGGATAATTTCTCACTTATTTGAGTTTGAAGAGAAAAGGGGAAAAAAAATCTCATTTAAAGGAATTTCTAACAATATTCGGTAGAATTACTTACTAGTCCTTCTCAGTATAGCCTACACCCTCACAAAACAAATGCAGTTAACTAACTACTTGTTGTTAGGTGCCAGCGAGTTGAGTACGACTCACAGCAACCCCACGAACAGCTCACCTGATCCCTTCCCTGTCCTCTGCCGTCCTCATCATCTGACGCAACTGCAAACTGCACATATCTTAATACTTTTTATCTTAAGAGTTAATATTGGATACTAGACTAGACTCTTAATATGCATCAACTTAAGGATCTTCAAAACTACCCTGGAGGTGGACAGTCCTGCCATTTCACCAAGAATGAAGTCAGTACACAAGAAATTAATTTTGTCACCAACCTACCAAGGACTTGGACTTGGATCATCTGAGAACAGACTCTCAATTATGTTCCTCGAAAGCCTCAGTTTGAGACCAGAGTGTTAAACTTGTAAACCTATTTTGCTCTTTTTAGCATAAGTTAAACATAATTTTTTTCCACAATATTTCATAATAACAACAGCTTAAAAACGTCTCTTCTCTGACTTCACAGAACTGAAACCGTTCTCGATGCCTTATGCTGTTACTGGAGCAATTATGATCCAACAGCAGGAAGGGCACATTCCCTGAGAGGCTGGCCTTGGGTGACTGCATGCAAAGAGGCAGGTCAACCACCACATCCTGACACTGAGACAGCAGCAGAAAGAGCACACCGGGGTGTACACTCCTTATCACAGAAAGGGGAGAGCGGGACAAATGGTCACAGTTATTTCCTGTCAGGCTAAATGACCAACTGCAGGTGCCGAGTACCTGAGCCTCAGTCTAAGTTGTCTCACTGTGCTGTCCACACAAAGCTGGAAAGAGGAGTACCCATTCAACTAGAGTGAATAAGAACAGTGTTTCGTTCAAGTTTCTGCCTTGTCTTGGGAGAGGTTGAAACAAGAACCATCTCCACCTCTACGGTCCATAATGAACTCTTGAGACATACAAAAAAAAGGCTCTGCTCCTGATCTTCTAACTCTCTATCCATTACATTATTTAAGGTACATAGAAAAATAAGCCACGCTGGCCATATAGGTAATCAAAAGCCTTAAAAGTCTCCGAGAGCTGGCTGCCTTTCAGCTGTGCTTTACTTGTACTGTTTAACCAGTACTTTCAACTTTATGAGGGCGCTCTGGAAGCTTCTTCTTGTCACTAGGTACTGTCAAATAGAATACAACTCATAGCGACCTTATGAACAGCAGACCTGAGCCCTACCTATTCATGTACCATCCTCATCATTTCTGACACACTTAAGTCCATTGCTGTAGTCACTGTGTCAATCCATTATGCTAGGGGTCTTCCTCTCTTTCGCTGTCCCCTATCTTTCCAAATGTGATGTCCTTCTCCAAAGAATAGCCCCTCCTATTACGTGCAAGCAAAATATTGCTGGGGATCATCCAAAAACAGAACAGTTTATTGACAGGGAACTATCAGAAGTTTAACCTGAGTTTAGAAGAAATTGTGGCATTATGATGTCATTGCTGATCTAGGATAGATCCTGGCTGAAAGCAGAGCATACCAGAAGAGTGTCTATTAATGTTTTATTGACTATGCATTTGATTGTGTAGATCACAACAAACTATGGCTAATATTGAGAAGAATGGGAATTCCAGAACACTTACTTGTGCTCATGCAAAATCTATACCAAGAAGCATTTTTCTGAATTGAACAAGGGAACACTACATGGTTTAAAATCAGGAAGGGTATGTTATGCATTGGGGATATATCCTTTCTTCATATCTATTTAATTTGTATTCTGAGGGGAAAAAAATGAAGCTGGACTTTATGAAGAGAAAGGTGGTATCAGGATCGGAGGAAGACTGATCAACAGCTTGTTTTAAGTAGATGGCCCCTTGCTTGCTGGTGGCTTAGTGGTAAGGAGTTGTGCTATCACCATAAAGGTATGTGGTCTGAATCTACCAGCTGCTCCATGGGAGAAAGATGGGTAATTTCCTTCCATATGATTTATTGCCTATGAAAACCTGCTGGAAGGTCAGCTCTGACTTGTAGGTTCTGACCTGATGGTAAACAACGGGAAGTTTTGGAGACCCTAAAATATCATCTGCTCAAAAATCCTTTTTTCAAAATAGGTGTCCTTTATTTCCATTGCCTGAAATATGGCCAAGGACAAAACCAATAATGTCTGAAATGGGTATTAAGAATTCAGAGGATTAGCCAGCAGGCTGTTCCTACTTGGCCCCCAATTGGGAGCTGAACAGAGGGAGAGTGAAGAAGGGTATAGAGAAGACATTCTGGCCTCTTGTTCACTGCCCTTTTTACTTTTACCCTGGGGAAAAACTAAGAGTGTTCACAGACTTAATCTCTAGTTCTATAAAAAGAAAAATAGACAGTTTCTCCTAGAAGTAGATGAACATAATGTGCTTCTCTGGCTGTTATCTTTTCAGTATTTATCTGAATATACACTTCATTTCACATGGAGGTAGGTAGAGTACACAGAAAACAGCAAATGCCATAAAAGCCTGCCTTGAAAAGCTAAAACTCAAGACTTAGCTGAAGCTAAAGCAGGAGTGTGATTCTCTGGCATCAACTGTGCAGAGGAGAAGGGGAATCTCATGCCAGTCAGTGCACTCCAACGGGCAGGAGAGGCAGAAATGACAGTGTAGGCTCCCTTCTACCCCTGATGACTCTTGCAGAAGAGACAGGAATTAGAACAGAGTTCAGGTTTGCAGCAACAGCATGGGGGTGGAGAGGGCACAGACAAGATTCCTGCAGGGCTGAGCTGTTACTCACCACTGTCCCATTGAAACTGTCAGACTAGCATGGAATATGTCTTTCACAGGCTGTCCCTCACCAGCTGCATGCTTTACACTTTACACTAGCTATGCACAAACTACCTCCTAGGTAAGTGTAATGCAACTACTGTGATCATAAAACAAGTGTTAACTTTATACTTTAATATAAAATGTTTCAAAAGGGAGAAAAAAAAATACAAAATGGCTTTATTTAGCAAGAATCCATACCACTCCAAAAATCCTGTTCCTCTCTTCAGAAAGGAAAATGTTTTGGTCATCAGTGGCAGACTTCCTGCAGAAGCTCTGCTAGGCTTAGTCAGAGCAGAGCCAGGAATTCAGTGAACCTGAGGTCATGCTGCCAAGATTCAAAAGAAATGAATGTTGTTACTAAGTGTGTGCACAGATCGAGAGTGGGAGAGCTACCCATTGCCTGCCAGCACTCAACTCTACAACGCAGACCAGAAAACTAAACTTCCAATAGCCCCTCTTCTTGTAAAATTTAACAAGAGGAAAAAGAAAGAAAAAAAACCCCACACAACAAAAAAAACCACTTACCTAGCTCTCCCCGGAGGTTAGCGAGTTCTTGAGATAGGGCTTTGTGTTGTTTCAGAGCTTCCTCCCGCTGCGGAAAACACACATCAAGTTACTAATGTTTTCAAGAGGGTCGCTCACAGGAAGGTACACATTTGTTATCACTAGGAAAATGAGACCCAGACTCCAGAAGCCAAGATATGAATCATTTAGGCTAACAGTTTGTGTTGTTACAAAACACAGATGTCCTCTTAGTTGTTAAGGAAATTAGTGCTTAAAAAAAAAAAATCTGTATTTTTTCAGGTCCTGTTAAAACTTCCATTTGAAGCACTGAATGGCCCAATTCAAAATATTTACCCTCAGTCAATAGTTTATTGCTCATCCAAGGAACCTTCTCATTAAAGCACACTGTACTTAAGACATGATGTTCACCTCCTCCAAGGGCAATAAAGTCTCAATCACTTTAAGATAAATATTTAATGTTCTAAACATATGCTAATATGTACTTTGTCCTACTGTCACAAAGGAAAAAAGTTTAGCTACAAAGGTCAAGTCTCAATCTTACTTTTAAAAGGAAAAAAGTTTGTTATGAAACTATGGAAAGATAAAAAATCCTTTAAAGAAAAATCTTGCTATTTTAAATCAGCTACACATTATTTTCTAAGAATGACTATGTTCTCTTATCAGCTATAATTCTAAGCAAGATGTTAGAAAACAAAGCAAGGAAAATCAGGCAGTTATTTCAGTTATTAAAAGCAGTTTTATCAACACTGCAGTAAGAACAACTTTCAAGTTACCAGTAACACACAGAAATCACACATAAATACACACATACACACACTTTTACAAATACAATAATTACATATAGTTCCTTAGAAGGTGGATTCTCTAGCAGCAGGACAGAGCAGGGAGGACAGACTTGCCGCGCTCTCTGGAAATGCCCCTCCTAGGATCCCTCTCCAAGGAGCTCCTGCTGCATCTTGATCAGCGTGTTGCAGAGATCATGAGATCCAGCCTTTGCAGGCAAGGGCTGCTTGTCATTTGGAGCATTTCCCCCTAGTCACAGACAGCCTCTACCTGAGTCTCTGACATCCTTCCAGAAAAGCACTATAAACAAATACTAATTACCCTTGTTGCTGCACATGGAGAATACAGGCACATTTTGCTGCCGGAGCAGCCCATTTTCCAGCTTCTGTCTCCAACTCCCCACCCCCCTGCACTGTCCGGGAAGTGCACAGGTGGCTACACCACCCACCAGCCGGGTCCTGTCTACATTCAAAGCTCTACCAGGAGGCACGCCATTGGCCCTCGGTTAGCCTTACTTCACGTCCTGCAGGTTACTGTACGCCTCAGACTCCTCTCTACAGAAGCTGATACTGCAGCTTCTGCCTTTGGCAGGAGCAGCCTGTGATCACTTAAAGCCACAGCCCTTCATTTATGAAAAACGAGAGCCAGACATTACAGTGATCGATGGCCACTTACTTAGTATCAGCTGGTAGAGTGGAAGGAAAAAACTGGCCTTCTCTTCATGGATAGTGGAGTTATTTTTAGATTTGTGAGTCTTTTTATTCCCCTCTCTAATTGAGGTCATTAGACAATCATTCTTACTAATAGAAAAGGGAAACTTGTTCTCTAAAACCTGTATAATAATCAGGTTATGAATAAACTGAAGAGCAATGAAAGTGTGTATTATTGTGACTTAGCATTTAAAGGACATTATTAAAAGAGTGATGGGCAACTCAAAATGTAATGTGGGTGTTTAAAAACTGTCCACTGGTGGTGAAGGGGGTGCGTAATGCTGATTTTAGAGTTGAAATGATAATAAATTTGACTTTTCTATTTTCAGTCTCTCCCTACAGGATTAAGACACTCTAATTGGCCACATTAACAAAGGACAGTTAAGAAACACTTTCTTGTTGAATATATATTTTGACCTCAATTATATTTTAAATGCTTGGAGTTTTGGGGGTTTTAGGTTATTCTGAAATCACAGATCAGTTTGTCCAAAGCTTTTTAATATAAAAAGTTGAAGAAAAGTAACCTAGATAAAAATGGAAGAAAAATGCATATGTCTGCACTTACTTATTCACTTTAATTTCCACAAAAATAAGCTTTATTTGTGCTAGTTTATTAATCTACTTCAAATAAGTCATCAGCAAGTTTTGTTTTCCAGGTGACAGGGAAACCAAAAAACTCCTTTTTACTAGATATCCATAAGCAATTCTGTTCAAACATACTCAAATGAGTTTGCCTAAAAGTCAGGTTTTTCTACGAGCCAAATTGCTAATAGAAGCAAGAATTGGAAAAACAAAGAAACCCAAATCCCTTTTCAAATTTATGAGAACTAAAAGGAAAATTAAAAATTAAGCTGGTTTAATTCAAAAGAGTGCAACAATGAAGGACTGGAAATCCTAAAGTCTCTGCATACTTTCATTACAATTAATTTAAGAAAAAGCCCAAAAACTTTCACTTTTATCACAAATATATATTGGTGGTATTTCTGCTTGTTTATGAAATGTGGACAAGAATTTCAGTGGTCATATGAATGTTTCCTCCAACTACACTGTCCTCAACCTTCCTACTTCAATGCCTCAAAAGCCATGGGACATTTCTAAACAGGTCAATCACAGTAACCTGAAAACCGTGAGATTATCTTTGACTTTGTCTAAATGGCTGTGCAAAAGTCAGTTCTCCCTTCAGAACATGCCCTGTAGTATCTCTTGCACTTTTTAAATGTACCCTTCCCCCATAGTCCTAATCTTTACCAACCCATTCCTGGACTGTTGTGTACCATCGAGTTGGAAGGAACCCATATTTGACCCTCAGCAGGAGACTGCCCACCGTTCTCCTGCAGAGCAATGGTGGATCTGAACTGTTGACTTTCGTATCATCACTAAGCCACCAGAATCTAGGAAAGCCTAACTCCATACCACTTACTGGGGAGCAATGTTAGATTACCCTACATTTCTCACCCATGAGAAGAAAAAAAAAAAAAAAAAGAATTCCTGGTGATGCAAAAGAGTAGCACACTCAGCTCACTAAAGGCTGCTGACTTGAGTCCACTCAGAGATAACTTGGATAAACATCCTATTAATTTTTCAAAACAATCAGCAATTGAAAACTCCATACAGTATATGGACCACTATGAGTTGGAACTGACTAGATGCTAACTGATGTGGTTTATATGCATAAACAGTTTTTGATCAAAAATTGTCTCCCAATAAGCCTTTGGGGGGAAAAAAACCCAACAAAAACTTCACTCTATTTTCATGGCCCTCAGTCACCTGCCTCTCAATTCATCCTAACCATGTGTGCCCATCTCCACACACTTAGCAACCATCCTTTCTGGAATGCCTGGTCATCTTTAGCTAACTGGCAATATAAAGCTTCTGGAAAGGCTGTACTCTCAACTGTAGACATTCAACCTCTGTCCCCTAAATGACACAAATACACATTTCTCTTTCTCAGTAGGCTGGGAGTTATTACGAGTAGAAAACAATGTAACAGCACTCCTGATGCTGTGAAAAAAGATATTTAAATATTATCCATGTTTTTAAAGGAGATTGGAATATAAAATCTAGCCCTATTTTCTTGGTCATCTTCATCTGAGGGGAAGCAGCACAGGATGACAGAAAAGTCACGGATTTTAAAGGCAGACTCAAGGAAATCCACCCCAACCACACACTAGCTATGTGACCTCCAGTCACGTGATTTAATTTGTTCAATTTCTCATCTGTACAGCAGGAATAACGCATAACTGAGAGGACATTTGTGGGTGTTAGATCTGACCCTTCATAAGAGATGTCAACTGTAATGCACACACTGTTAGTTCCTCCTTTATTTTTCTCACACCTTGCCTGTACATGTTCATAGCATTTACTTGCAAATGATTAAATTAATTTTGTCACTTAGGTACTGATTTACCATTTCTTTTCATTCCACTGTGTTCACATCAGTGCTCGTCTTAGATGACAAACTCTATAGTCCAGATAAGGTTATTTAATTATCCTTATTATTGTAACACGCAAAAAATGCACACAATCGGGGGGTGGGGAGAGAGGGAGTGACACAGAGAGAAAATGCTTTCATATTCATGCATTAAACAGATGAAGTGCTCAATGGGGGGGGGTATCTAAAACGGACTCACTATAATTTAATTAGGAGTCCCTGGGACACAGGCACTTAGTCTTTGGCTGTCGGCCCATTAATGCGTCTGCTGCCGAACAGCACCGACATCACAGGGAATTCTGCAGAAAAGAGCCACATCAGACAGCTCTGTGTATGACAGGTACTATGTCTTGCACCACCAAGGGCACATGATATATGTGTAATAGTGTGGCCACTGTTTATGCTCACAGGCATTTTTCACATTTAGACGGCTAAGGTCACCCAAATTCAATTGTTTGACTAGACTCTATGACAAAGATTGATGTGGTTGGAGCCACTCTGGATTTTAGGCAGAAAGTTAGTGGAGTTACCTCAGATCTACTGAATCTTGCCTAGCTTTTATGAATAAATTGGGATTACTACCATCAACACTATAGTAACTAGAAAAGAACGGTTGTGCCTTTTGCCTCCAGAAAAATCAACCTCAGTAACTGGGGTCGTAATGGAAAAAAATAAAATACCAGAAGATTTTTTATTATTATACACATCTTTCTGGTGGTTCAAATCCACCAGCAGCTCTGAGGGAGAAAGACAGGCAATCACCTCCCAGGAGATTTACAGTCCTAGGAAACCCGCTGAAGGATCAGCTATGAGTTGGTTCTGGCTCAAAAGCTGTGCAGGAGACAAGGGTTATGCGTTTCCCAAATCAGTTTCCTGAAGGGAACATTTTTCTGGGAATATATATTGGCTTGTTGAGGGCCTTGGGGAAAGTTGATGTGTATTCAGTAAAGAAAAGTGAGGCTATTTTAGAAAAGGAGAGATTATACCAATCTGTAGGCTTGTGCAGCTGGGTTACATAAGGAAAAATGTGTTGTATATGTCCTTTCTCCATACCTATTATGAAGTGTGCCATCAGGGTTGGAGAAAGGCTCAACAACCACCTGAGTCATGCAGATGATACAACTTTGCTTGCTGAAAGTAAGG